TGGGAGCGCCGAAACCCTAAACCCCTACACGGCTCCAGGGTCTGCGAGAGCGAGTGTGCGAGTCGAAACCCCTACACCCTAAACCCGAGCCTTGCCTGCTTGTGCGAGTGTGAGCGTCGAAACCCGAAACCCCTAAGCCCTAAACCCCTAAACTGCCTCACCGGAGGCCCCTGGAAGAGGAAGCTCCTGAAAAAGGGAGCCTCGGTTTCCCGGTCTGCGTCATGGACTCTCAAGGCGAGGGCTCCGAGTCCGATGATGGCTGCGTGCAGAGGCCGCGTCCCGGAGCACGGCATAGTTATAATATAGGGGGCCTTAATTTTTGGGGGTTCCTTAGTGAACTTATAGTAGAATATCCCCCCCAAAACCCTGTACAAAATGAGTTACGGCCCCGAGATAACACCGCATGCTCAGAGAACTCATTCCAGGACCTGCTCCTCGCTGACGCAGACTTTTCGGCCCGGGCGAGCCGTCCCGACAGGGGAAGGCCGATACCGGGTGGAGCACCTTGCATGCTGAGAGGTAGAAGTTTGTGGGTTGTATGTTTGAGAAATTTTCGGAGTTAGGCTTTGGGGCTTTTGGCTTTGTTTGTGTGTGCCTTTGCGGAAATTGTGGTCTCTGGCTGTGGCACAGCCGCATCTAGAAGCTTCAGTGCCAAAAAGCGTTCCTACGGCCTCCGAAGGCGGGTCCTCCAAACATGGCAAGTGAAAGGCCACGTCCACATGACAGGGGTCATGTAGACTGCGATCATTGCGATCTACAGTGTTTCCACTGATTTGTGCCGCATGTTGTCTTGCTGCCGTATTCCCTGCTTGCAAGAGCTATTAGTGCCTTCAGTGAAGTACGCGAAGCAAAGGTTAGTCAAACTTGAGTTTGCAGTCATAGCTGTTCCACATCATGCCATGTCTGCAATCATGTTTGCATTGGCTGCTTTATCGCACCGAGTTCCAGAGACTCTGCACCAATCCGGCCTTCCACCAGGTTTAGCTGTGAGATTGTGGTGGTTCCTATGTGTTGGTGCTGTGCTTGCTATTTGCAAGTACCCGTAGATCGGCCCGGTTGACCCCTGAACACTTCTATCGGAGCTTTTCAACGCGAAACGAGAAAGCACAGGTTCGCCGACGATCGGGAGCCGCCGGTCGCGATTGTTCAGGCCACCTGAGCCTGCAGACGATTGCAAAACCCGGCTTGAAAGCTGCCCTCACAAAATGCCACCGGTCCGTACGATGATGGCAGAGCCCGGGTGGATTTGTGCTAGCAAGCAGCAAGAGCCGCGATGTCAACGTCCTTGATAGATCTCGTCAGCGCGCTCATCACTGGACACAAGTGGGCTTTCAAAGCATCACTAGGTGTATAGCCCCTCGAATCTAGAATCTAGATCGCTTCTGTCATCGCCATGCCTGTGGTCAGGCAGACCAGTTGCACCCACACCTCTCATTGAAGCTGGAGCTGGACGAAGCCGTCTGCGCTGAGCCATGACTCGCAGAGTTTGGACGCTTGCGATAGCTCAGCAGGTTTCGGGACAGAGGCGAGCCTGCAGTTTCAGCCTCAATGCCGGCCAGTGCTCAGGAAGACTCCTTGGAGGACGAGATGGAGGAGCAGTCCGCAAGAATCTGCTGCTTGGCAGACCCCTTGACAAGACCTGGTCCCTGATCGCCCTATAGCTGAGGGGAAGGTTGCGCTTAGAGGAGACGCAGCTCACATCCGACCAAAGTTGCGAAAGAATCAGAAGTGCTTGTTCATGCCTGGTGAAGGAGATCAGCAGACGATGTTGACTCTGTAGGATGCCAGCGCCGATGTTCGCAGGAAGGCAAAACAAAACCTGAGGGTTCTTGGGGATCCTGGGACGCTGCGAGGCACTGGCTGGCTTCGCTGTGGCGAGATGTGCAGCCCGGTAGTTAAATTTCTGGTATGATAAGTATGATACGTACGAATATTTGTGTGTGTGTGTGTGCGTTGTGCGCATGTCCAATATGTGCATGCTAGGCTGAGCAAAGTATGCAAAGAGAAGCGCGGCCCTCCAGTCCCCCACGCCAAGAACACTGCAGTCATCTGCGTCCCATGCCCGTGCCCACGATGAAGCACAGAGATTCATGCGACGCGGTAAGGCGAAGGCGAGGAACACGAGCTCTTCGAGCGTCGAGCGCAGCTGCTGGACGCTTTGAGGCATGGTCTTGGGTCAAAGGCGACAAGAACGTCTGAACGGAGGGCGCTGACTTGAGCCGGCTTGCGAGGTCTCTGCTGTTCTTGCAGCTGCCGTTCTTGTGGCTTGGTTCAGTTTCAGAGGTTCCTACAGCTCAGCCACGCCACTGCAAGTTGTCGTGTCCAGAAGTCTTCTTGACAAGCCGTGCATAGCTTTGCCAGCACACAGCGGTCTTCAGAGCATCTTTGGAAAGGCCGGGTCCGTGGCATCTGCTGAGGCTCTGGCGGCTTTGGTTCTCTTCCTTCACGGTTGACGTTGTGTCCTGGGCAGGGTGGCTTGGAGTGATGTTGGTGATTCTGAAGGTGGTAGTGATGAAGATGACGATGGTAGGAAGAACTTGTGCTCCGGGAAAGTCGTAGAGCACGCATTGCTACGACGAGGTCAGCAGTGGCAGGAGGGGCGGAGGGATCTGTCGATCACAGCGGCATCTTGAGTTGCCTTTTCGAAGGTGGTGCAGCAGATGCTAAGAACGATAGGACCCTGATGTTAGTATGCTATGGTCTCTGAGTTGCATTTCGATTTGTTCTGCGGTTTCAGGTTCACGACTTTGTTCTTGTAGCATTTCCGAGAAAAAGATGTCCTTGTGCGATTCAGCGACGTGTGAGATTGTTCCAAGTCTTGCCACTCAGTCTCCTTTTTTTCGCAGCCTTGCCGGGAGCCGGGCCTCATTGGCACGGATTCGGGCCCAGGAGTACCTTGCTTATCGCGAAGAACACGATCTGGGCACTGCTGGACTTAACGCGGCTTGGCCCTCCCAGAGTTGCAAAAAAATGACATGCATGGATTGTGTATACACCAGGCTAGCACCTCCTTGTGCCTGTGGGCTACGGCTGAGGGCTATTCAAGGAAAGTAGGCAACGTCTGTGGCTATGGCTTGACCTGTGATTGGCATGCAGCCGAGGATGGTCCTCAGTTGCGGCAGGGAGGACTCCATGTTGTGTGGATTCCGGCCACTGGAGCACCTGCGAGCGGCAACAGTCAGTGACTTGGCATCAAAGATGAAGCCTGTGGAAGGGCTGGGGAATTTATTGATTTTGTTTTTGCATCGGCAGGCTCTGAGGTTTGCCGTTGTGGAATACAGTAACAGCATAGCTCTCTCGCTTACACTCGATTGTTTCCTCCATGCCCCTTGTGCAGAGACCCACGTCCAGGCCGGTTTGGCCAGGTCTGGGTGGGGCCCAGTGGGATCATCGCTTGCGCCGCTGAGATGGCCGGGACTACGCGGAAGGCCTGGAACTTTTCAAAAAAAGTCAACTGCATGAACCACCTCTACGAGTGAAGTCTCGGGTCTAGCTTCTCTAGCCACTAACCCCCATCATCGAGTTTCGCCCCCTAAACCCTAAACCGGATTCTCTGGAAGTACCGCTTTTGAATCCGTGCTGAGACGAAAAGGGCCGCTTAAAAAAAAATGCCGGATTCTTTCTGCTTTTCCAGGCCCGGCTCGAGCAGAAGCATCAGAAGCTCCTGGAGCACGAGGCGCTTCAAGAGTGCCCCTCGGGGCGGGGCCCCTTTGGTCCTTAAGGCCCTAACGTCGTCAGAAGTAGACCCCATGTCTGGGAGTTTCCGAAAAAATATAAGTGCTACCATATTCTGGGGGTCCTTATAATAGGGATCCTAGTATTTAGGGTACTAGATCAGGGTCCCTGATTTCCAAAACACTCCCATGTGGCATGGAATGCCCCCCCCCCCCACTGCTGTTTTCAATTTATGCCCCTTCAACTTGCGATCTTGACTTAGCTTTGGTTAGTAGGGAATGGAGGAATGGGGTACCATGATAACTACTATTACTGCCAGTCTTCCATTCTATGCGGCTCCTTCAACTTGCCAGCCTTGGGTCTCCTTGTCCTTGGCAGAGCGGCACGCAGCGGCAAGTGAAGTCTGCTCCTATCGCTTGACAGCACCGCCTGTACCCGTTGAGCCCCAGCGGCGAAAGGAGTGGCTCCGGGCTGAGAAGGAAAAGTGGAGCGATGCCGGGCCTCTCGACTTGCAGATGGATTTTACTTGGTTCTCGAATCGCCCAGTCCTATGTCGGACTGTTTTTTTAGCCTTTCCGGTGGTAAGAGCAAATGAGTAGCTGAGAGATGCTGAGAGTACTGTAGCTTCTGAGTTAGCTATTTCTGGAGACTCAGGCATCTTTTTGATGAGCCCCTGCGTCGGGCTCGTCACTTGCGGTTAATGTACGAGGAGAAGATGCAGTTCACGTTCCCGTAGAAGGAGTTTGGCTTCTTGACTGTGCACGCCATGTGCTGGCAAGCACGGTCCAACAGAAGCACAAACCAGTCACCCTGCACGAGCTTGTGAGTCCATGTTCGTCGCCGTAATATCCGGCAATGACACCTGGCTTTATAGCAGGCTGGCAGGCCGTTGTCCACGTTTCCCCAGCCGTGCAGCTCAAAAGGTATGCCTGCACTCCGTGTCTGCTGTCCCATGTGGAAGTTCAGGGTGTCTTTGGCTTCGGCTTCGCAGTCGCCCGGGCTTCTTGTGAAGTAGGTTTCGCAGGTGAGTTCTGGCATGGGGTGATTCAGGGCTTCTTTGAGTGCAGAGCCGGGATTTTACTTTGGGAATCCTAAAACCCTGTGCTTTCGCTGCCATACTCTCCCAGGCTGTTCCGAACAGCTGTGTTTTCCCCCTGAGCGCCCGTACTTTACCCGACGGGCCAATAGAGATATCAAGCCATGATGTTGATAGGGGGCCCTTACATGGTACCCTAAATAGTAGGATCCTTATTATAAGGGCCCCAAAACAAGGTACCCCTAATGTTCGGAAACTCCCACATGGCATGACGGCCCTCGAATCCAAGGCCTTGATTGACGTGAAACCCGGAGCCAATTTGCTGCAGATCGGTGGTCAGGACGTGGAGGCCGCTACATCTTACCGTTGGTTAGTGGTGAATGGAGGAATGGGATACAATTATAACTTATAACTACGATTACTACCATTCATCCATTCCCTACTAACCAAAGGTAAGGCATGGGCAGCCGGAGAGCCATGCTTTGTCGGACTGGCTTTCTGGAAGCTCTCGCGTCACGTGGCCACAGGGCGCCCCACTCCTCCGTTGCGACCCCCTGCTATCAGAGGATAAGCTACAGAGTCTCGTGCCGCGTTGACTCTCCACAGGTCCGCCTCCCAGCAGAAGATGCCGGCATTCGTGCCGTATTTTGGTCCGAAACTTCGGCTGTAAAATATTTGCTTCAGGGAGCATACAGGGACACAAAGCACGCATACTGTGAAGGAATTTTGGCAGAAAGATGCCCAGAGCTTCAGACAATGGTTCTCGCACAGTGAGGACCCATGCTTCTCGTCAAAGTGGATTGGCTGCGCCCCTCGGCTAGCTTTGGCTTTGTGGCGTGCTGGGCTTTTCAAAATCGCAGCTTAAAAGGGGTGCGGTATTTGCTGAAGCCAAGACTGACAACTCATTTTTGTATGCAGCAGCCGGTGTGCCCGGATGCGGTGGCCGCACACGTCGATGGTGATATTTGTCTTTCCCTCTTCAGGCTTATGCGGAGGTCTTCAACACGTTTGAGAATTCCATAGCCATGCTCAATGCAGTCTTTTCTGTCCCTCGGCCTGCATGAACATGCCCTGTGGCGGTATAGATGCTTGACCAGTGACCAGTGATGGGAATCGGCTTTAGGCCAAACCATAGGCTCAGATCATGTGTATCTGTTCTCTTTTGTGCGCTTCTTGCCGGTCAGCCTTGTGTAGGACCCCAGCATGGATATGTTCTCGATCCTGGGCGACAACTTCTACGACCAGACCGGAGAGCCCCAGTGCCGCAGTCGAGTAGCGCCCGGACGTAGAATGTCCGAGCATGGCAGTACGCGAGTGAATATATCCTAGCTGTTGGTAGGGATGAGATTGGAAGTGTGTAAAAAACTAGCGGACTACAGATGCTGAAGCAGCTGGCCCACGACTCATCGTCGGTGAGGGCCCAGTGGAAACAAGCTTGACATCACTGTAAGTTGCAAGGTTTTTGAGCTTGACTGCCACTCGACCATTGAGCAGTGCCATGAGTGATTCTGACTCCGAGACGTTGGTGTAATGGCTGGTCTCTAGCTAGCACTCCTGCCAACATGATCCCATTGAAACTTCATCTGGCATGCTCGAGAGTGAGCGTATAAGTAGGCATACAGCGTTTGTGTGCGTGGTTTGTGGTTAAGCATTGTCCACCCATCTAGTGAATCTAGTGTGCGCAGCAGTCAACGTGTCTGTCTCGTTCCCCAAACGTTGCCTGATTTGGTCGAGTCGAGTGCGAGTTCTCGAAAAAGTTCGATGACCTTCAGAATGTACAAAGTCGGTGAAGACCACCTGAGGGGTGCAGGCAAGTATGAGGGGGCACCTGGAAAACTAGATGGGGCTAACCGGTAACGGATTAGTACGCTTCGCCGGCAAGTCCGGATGTGAGACATTTGGGCCGATACCTGGCACGTCAGCTTGCCACGAGTCCGAGTGTGAGAGCGTAAGCCTAAATGACCGTAGGTGTTGATTGCATGTTTGCAATATGTTGAGACTCGGGATGCACTGTTTGCCTCAGGTTGGCGACGACTTTCTTCGACCGACTCTCCCCCGATGTCAAGAGGCGGTTCATGCTTGTGGCACGGGACCAAGACGACATGTATTTGGGCTACAGTGTGCAAGGCCTTGCAATTTGAAAATTATTAGTGTAAATGCGATCCTAGGCCATCCGGGACCGGGGATGAAGTATGGATATTCAAAAATGCAGGCTGAGGATGCATCGTGGTGTATGTATTGTGGCTTAAGTGAAAAACGGAGCGAAGTCAAAGTGTCCTGAGGCGAATGGCAACCACGACATTTGGGTCTGCGGAAATCCTGGCTGCGGTGACGAGAACGACAACTTTGGCATTGGGCAGATGCAGTGGCATGGTGACAACTTGGACTAAGGGGACCTGCCAATGAGATTTTGTAAGATATGGACGCTACAAAGGATTTGGCGATAGGTCATAGGAATTCGCACCCGAAGGTTGTGAACGCAGCAGCTTGCAACAGGCCTCGACGAGCCTGCCTCGCGCAATGTCGTGGATTCGCAGGTACTACGCCGCTGACTCGGTTGCCTCCCGAATTCCACCGCAGGACGCACCTGGATTCTAGATCGCTGTACTCGCAACGTTTTCCGAGTTACTGTACAAAGCGAGCAGTGTTGGGTGGGATGCGAAGCCATTGGTCCGTTTCCGTGCGCCTCGAGTTTGTGAATCCCCCCGCCACCCCAGAGGACGACGTGAATTTCATGGACTTCTCCGTCGATCCCGATGTCAGGCGAGGAAATGCGGGGAGCTTGTGCTATAATTAGTTGACAGTAGCTGACCCTTCGCTTGCCAGGAAAGCTTGGACCAGCTTTCAGAACGTGGGTACCAACTTCTTAGCACCTCGGACCGTCTAGAAGTTGATACTTCAATTTCAGGTTCGGACATGTATCCACCGATGATGGAAACTTGGCAGTGTCGCTCCTCGAGTCCTTGTGTTTTGTACAAGAGCAGAAGAGCCGATCTTCATCACAACTCAGTGTCCAATGAAGCATCCAAGGTTTACCACAAGCTCGGGAACATTGGCTTCCTTGCTTTTACCGGAGCGGCTCTGTTCACAGACATGCTTCCCTACTTCACAGAGGCCAGCTGCGGTTTTCAGTTCTCGGCGTGAGACTTTGAGAGTGTATTTATGGTCTTTGGGGAAGGGATGCGACATGCCAAGGTGTGCCCCAAAATATGCAGTGGCCAAGATGCCCGAGACTATCTACCATGAAACAGAATCATCTTTTCAATCTTGGGCTGAAACCGATACCGCATTAACAGCAGGCGCAGTAGGCCCTGGCAGGCTGTAAGGAAATTTATCTGTGCCGGTCATGCCAGCTTGGGTCGCTCTGTGTAGTCCTTAGATGAGGCGTGCGATTACTTCGTGGAGACTCAGCCAGCCGTCGTGTGCTGCTGACTGCATGTAGATTCCGTCGCTTTTGAGCAGAATAGGCTATGCGCCACGATGGTTCTCAGGACCAGACGGGCTGATCTTTCAGTGCATGTAGTGTAGTGACCTTGTTTGATTGGTGCCTGGCCAAGGGAAGCTTTCGTGCCGGGCAAATTACTTGAACTCCGTGGGATCCATTTTTTTCAGAGCGCTCATGACGCTACTGCGTGCGTTCGCAGCCCGTTGCGACCATCTGCCCCAAGGTTCCTCCTCGGACACTGGAATGGAGGGGGTCTTGGCTGTGCTCTGGGCATGTCTGTGCCGAAAGTTCACCAGGCTGCTTGGCTTCATTTTAGACAACGGTCTCCTTCACCGGGGCAGCTTCGGCAATGGCATATTTGTGTGAGTGCTGTTCGTGGTGCTTGTATGGGCAGTCAGTGTGCTATCCGTCGATGCACAAGTTGACCTTCTGCCAAAAGGCTCCTCCTGTGAAGATCAGTCCGTGGTGTTTTGGAGAAATCCCTCCAACTCTGAACTTGCGGTCAGCAAACCTATATGGACGAGCTTCGCGATCCGGTACGCAATCTCGTCTTAACTGTTGATCCGCTAGGTTCAGGTGATTCAGGTGTTGTGTCGTCACAGTGATTATGGTCGTAGCAGCAGCAGCAGCTGCTGCGTTAGAAGAATGAAGCTGCGGATCAGGATGTTGGTTGGCTACTGGTTGAGCAACACATTCATCCTTTGCATAGCAATGGGCTGAATCTTATGCGAAGAAACGATAGAAAGCTTTGATCCAACGGGAGACGGAGCCACCAGCAAAGCAGGAGCAAAGAAGCCGGAGACTAAGGAGCTGCTGGCGCTGACAAGCTGCAAGGCACTGGGCAACCGCCTGAAGTGCGCGTCGTAAGGTAAGGGCACTTTGGCGTTCGTGCGGCTTCAGAACTGGCAGGAATTTCGAGCTCGAGCTGCACAGTGGCAGAAGTATGGTTCAACCAACCAAATAGTTTGGATAGTCACTTCGCACGGCGAGATATCGCGAGCCCGGACAATCTGCAGGTACATGGACGGGCACGAGCACTGCAACTATGCAGTGGCCTCAGCTACGGCCATGGTTGTGCCATCTGACAGAAAGCTGTTGAGTGTTTTGGTTGAGTTTTGCACGAGGTCCAAGCGAACGCAACAGAACCTGTCGGGTTCATGATCGGCGCTCATGGCATGTCCGACAGCGCATGTGAGGCCCGCATGCTCGCAAGTGGTTTCTGTGCCGTGTGTCATGTAGGGCCAGAGCGTGCGGCGCACTGTCTGCCTACTTACTTATGACTTGGAGCAAGTGCTGCGATGATTCCAATTCGTGCAGATCCGACGCATCTGTGCGGACTAGCTGATCAGCAGCTAGGACAGCTAGGAAGATGGATCAGGTGCAAAGGCTGCGTGTTTTGACATGGCCTACACGCAGCGCCGTAAACCCTTGGTGCAGGCACAATATGGCTTCTTATTTCTGGACAGTACGTCCGCGAGGGTTAGGTGCGGCCTGATACTGTATCAGCTAGGAACTTCCTGCTCATCCATGTGCTGCTCTGTTTTTTTGCGAAGGCCATGCGTAGGCAGCGCAGAAAGCCTCTACGGACAGATGTGGGTTTGGACGCTGGTCTTCCTGTGTTGGTGCCAGGCTACACTACTTCGAGGCTCGGTGTGCTCTCCACTTTGGCAGCAGATGCGGTCGGGATATGCCTGCATTGTGTTGTTTGAGTTACCTGTCGGCCTCCATACCAAAGTGGGACCGGCAACATTGCCTTTACTGTGCTCTAGAACTCTAGATGTACCTAAGTTGTCAGAAGTGGACCGGTCTTTCCCGGTCGACCTTATGGTTAAATGATTGCCTGGCGTGCTTGCGTCCCGAAAGGTGGCTTCCGAATCAAAAGGGAGCCGCTTCGAGGAGATCTTTACTTGCATCCTGCAGAAGGGAGGCCTGGTTGCGAGAGCGGTTTTCGTTATCAGCTACCCAACTACGTAAAACGTAGACACGATGTTGGCACTGAGTCAATATGTGCCTCTCTTCACGTCTTTCTCCCCTCTATCTTGCCTGTATGCGATTTTGTTTGCACAGGAACATGTGGCGCATACGCATCTTGCATTCATGCACAGTACCCACAAACAACTACATGCATCGTTTGTATACGTCGATCTACGGCTTTCTCACTGTTTGTTCGTATTTCGCAAAAAAATTGTAATCGGAAGCTTGACGAGAGCGGCGACGGCGAGTATGTTTTGAGCTCTTTGAGGTACTTTGAGGTTCAGACCGCCTCCCGCAAGCCTGAAGGTTGTTGCCGACTTGATGGTGGCTGAGACCCCCGCAAGCCCTTTGATCACAGCCAGGCCTAGCGGCCTGCACGAAGTTTGCGCAGACCTGGCTGGATGTCCCAGTGGCTTGGCGTGCATCTAGTCGAGACGATCACAGCTGTTTGGTGTAGAATGTTTTCCTCGTGCATTCTCGACGTGCTCTTCTCCATCGCCTGCCTTGCATCCACACCTTCCACAGGGACAGCTTGGCACTGAAGCTGTGCCCATCGAAGGGGGCCTTTACAATGAAGCGGTCAGAAAGATGCCCCACGGTTGAAAAAAGTGGTTGCTCGCCGAGTCAGCCGGCTCGGCGTGCCCGCAAGCACACAGCATCCCCTTCAGAAAGCGCGCCCTCTGCGGGTGCCCTCACATCACAGGAGACTGTGAGACGGCAGAGGCACTTCTCCAACTTGGCCAGTACATGGGAGTGCAACTGAGTCTGGGTCGAAACTCGGATGGTCAGCATGGAAGTACAGCGCTTGGCACGGGTGTTGGACGACCTCCTCTCGGGCCTTGTTGTCCATGATGCCTGTGACCATGGTTTCTGTACCACCACGGGTGGTTTCCATCAGCGACATCCAATTTGAAAGAAATGACCTCCCCCGTCCTGGCCCGGTCGACATCCTGCTCAGATTCTTGAGTGCCTTCTGTAGCATGGTCTGGTCGGTTTAGGTCTAGAGGCACCACGAGCATCATCCGAAGCTCGGGCTCAAGCTGCGCTCCTCTCAGCTCTTTAGCTCCGTTTGTTGCCCACCCTGCCCACCCCTCTTCTGCGGTGGGGTGTGGCTGTACTCAGAGTGGTTCCTCGCTACTCTGAGTCCACTGGGCTTACATGGAAGTATTCCTCGTAGACTGTGTGGTGAGGGTTTCCTCCCGATGCATCGGGACTCGGTTTCGATTGTCACCATTGTGTTGCATCAAATGTGCCCGCGAGTGGCCTCCATTCTTTCCAATGCACCCCAGATGTGCATCATTGTGAAGCGGGTTTCGTGGCCCTTCGGCCGCGGCAACAGAACGGAGTCCCCATACACTGGAAGACGTCAATATTTGCTCGAAGCACAGAAACCTCCCACGACCTTGTGAGCGCATCCCGCAAAACTCAGGTGCAGCCTGGGGTGTTCGCAGCCCGGACCCCAGCCAGTGCGCTGTGCAGACACGAAGTCTGGGAAGAGAAACAACCGAAGATCCCATCCTTGGGGTTCCGCTTCTAATGCATTCAGTGTTCGTTCTGGGCACCGCTTCCTTGCTGATTTGGGATTCCCAGTGCTTCTTTGGACCTTTCGGAAGGCCGCTCGGGGCTCTCAGAAGGAATGATGCGCTCTCCTTTTGGGGGACTCGGCCAGCGATTCGTGCAAAAGCTCTAGTCAAACCTATTTCGTTTCCGTGGTTTGCAAACTGGTGCGCATCGGATTAACGGATCCACTAGTTTCCAAATCTGCACCTCCAGAAGTTCACAAGCTACTACGAGTCGTAGAAACCACTCTTTCCTGCTGCAAGGGTAGAAGAAAGAGCATGGTGAATGCAGACGGGGCCAGTCACATCCCCAAAACACGCCTGCGAACAAGCAAAATTCGTTTGGGTACCGCCCCCCATGCCCGAGCTTAGCAGCTGCTTCGGTCCCGTAGCGCTTTGCCACGATCTGTTGCAGACCGATAAAGGCATTTGAACAATATTGCCTGCTTTGATAGCATGAGTCCTCTCTTGCGAACTTAGCATGAGCCCCTCTGATGCAGCAGCAGCAGCAGCAGCAGCAGCAGCAGCAGCGAACAGCAACGTCGTCAACGTCCAGTGTCTAGTAAGCGCTGATGTTCCACGTCGCTTGGTCCTTGTTTCGCTAGCCGCAATCTTCGGCAGCACTAGGTGGTCTAAGGGACCAATTGAAACGACAGACAACACTTGTGCAGGTCTGAACTGCCTGGCTGCGTCGGCCTGACCGGAGCATTGGAACAGGCTAGTAGCGGCATGACGGAACTTCGCTAATTATTGTTAGTCCTGGTTTCCTGCATAGTGACAGATGCCAAGAGCGCTTGGTCTCAAAATCTGTGATCTGGGTGAGGAGCGCAACCCGCAGTCTGAGCCCTTCGGGTTCTGCCTTCTGTAGATATTCCGGCGAGGGCGAGCTTTCGTCACACCTCTGTTTGGGAGGGCAGTTATGGGGAGCTGTGGTTCGGGGGCGTCGTCAGTTGGGCCACGCATTGCTGGCTGCCATGCAGAGGATTCAGGCCCATGAGAAGCTCGCATTGTAGCATATCGTGGGGTGTGGGCGACAGTTTTCGTAGCAGTTGTAGCCCTAAGCTTTAGGCTTGTCGTGATGTCCACAAGCATGGCCACCGGGATGTTGCAAAGCGAGCTTTTCGACAGGAGTCGGCTTTGAATCCTCTGAGCATGGTCTGTTGAAGTGATTCCAACATAGCAGTAGTTCACAAACCACTATAAACACAAGCCTGTGCTTGTGCATCATACATGTTGGCATATGCAGACGAATTCGAGAGCAATGCGTGCAGTCTCCGGGCCGCAAGCCAAAAGTGCCCAATAAACAGCAAGCGCGACTGTCGGCACAATGCCTGTTCTACCTGGGGCACCGATGTAGAAGCAGGGCCTCGCACTGCCAGACATGTGAAATGCTTGACACGGCGCCGTAGGATGCCACAGTGCATCCTGCGGTCAGCCCTCAGATGCAGCATGAAGCAAAATTCCATCCCATCCGGTACTAGTAGCACAGTCCTCGACATAGCGTTGACCCCTCATATTATACGATGATCAATATACGAACAGTATACAGTATACTAATACTAATATTACATATTGTTAATAATATCTATTTTTAGGCAAGCCGAGCTCGGACACGGTCTTCAGATGTCATGGCGGTTGTGGATCCTGCTGGTCTTCGAAGTTTCAAACGTGGCTTCGAAGGACCTTGTTCATAGCGGCCTGGGATGTTCATGTCGCATGCCAGGACATGCAGCCTGCAGCACACGAGAAGACAGTGATTTACTTGATGTGTGCCGAGTACTGCATCTCCAAAGGCATCGAAAGAGCGCAGGGGCAAAAAGTCTTTGCTGTGCCGCAGTGGGTTGACTCGAGGCAGCTTCACGAGACCAGGAGGTATTCGGCCGTCTTGTTTGGGAGGCTTTGCAGACCATGGAAGCAGAATCTCGGCATGTGTGGCTTGTAGTGAGCAGACTCCACCGCCCCAGAACCTGCAGCAGCAACAGTCTAGCACCACCGAGATTCCTAAACTCTCGTTCGCAGCAAGCCTCGTCGGCAGATGTCGGCAGCTATGGGGCTGAAAGCTACCCTGTGAGAGTATAGGTATCGGACGACGTGTTCCATGTTGCGAGGGCTTCACTGACTTCGACTCTGGCAAACAACTTTCACAGAGGCCGCCCGCAGCTTCTACGCGGGCATTGCGCGCTTATTGAAAGCGTAGACTCGCCCGAAGCCTTGACATGAGACCATCGAGAGCAAAAAGAAGCCGACATGCGGTGCACGATCTACTCTTATGCTCTTCGGATCTAGGCCTGTCTGAATGTTGCTGCTTAGCTTTCTCAGGCTGGGCAAAACATGAAACACCACGACAACGGGAATCCCGACAGCACGCTTTGTCAGCACTGTAAACAATACCTCACCACCTCTCATCATCCCAAGTGCTCCCGCTGGAATCATGATGAGTCCTAACGGTCCTAAAGCAGCAGTAGTAGCACTGGGCATGCTGTAGGTGAACAAATAAGACGAAGAACAACAAGGATGCACCAAGAAATTCGCACCTCTGGAGATCGAGGTCGTCAGAGGTGTACTACTATTAATATTACTACTATTGCTATTATTACTATTATAACTATGATTACAGAGCGCGAGAGAGAGAGATCGTGGCTTTCTACAACTGGGGCGCAGTGAGCTCACTCGACGAAGAGGGGCCGACAGACGAACTGTCATGCGCCACAGGGAAACTCGGGCCAAGGGTTGCGTGCAGCCCCTAGACCCCTAGCAAGCAAGCAAGCAAGGAAGATCGGGCGATTCATCTCACGTGGTAGTCCTGCACCGATACCACAGCAGAACGGGGCAGCGTCAAGGCATGGCTCACTCACGAAGGAGGCCGTAATTAATGTGGACCTCAGTTGTTCTGTCAGACGAGGGTGCCGGCACAGTTGTGGACGAACCCTGAGTTGAATATACCATTCATTGCATCGGGGCACTCGTGAGCCATGCTTCTGAGTCATGCCTTGCCATGTACTTTCCTTCCTTGAAAAGCCCGAGCCCACAAGGCACTGACTCTTGCAAAAGTTGCAAACCCAACTCACTCTGAGCAGACCCTCAACACGGCATGCCTCCACACTAGGCCCTAAGCCCGCGAAGGAAAGCACAGGCTTTCTTGTGTTCGGGCTGAGGCCTGTAGGGGTGCTTCGGCTGTGCGGGTTCTGGGATTTTGCTGGCATGAGATGACATGAAAGCGCAGAAACCTCTCACATGGCACACCTCACTTTCCCTGTTGCCGTGGGGTGGCCAAAAGCCGTAAGCTAATGTAGCTCCGTTGAATGCCCAACGAAGCCCCACTGCCAGTTGCATCGCTGCCTTCCCGTCCAGCTCACTTTAGCCGCAAGCGGTAGAGACTTCAGCATAAAGAGCTTATTTCGATCTTGGGCTGCGTGTTGCTAGCTGTAGGCATCGTAAGTTCAGACAAGCTTTTTGAACAAGACTCTTGATGGCAGCTGACAAGATTGAACAGCAGAATGCCGTTCAAGTTATCTAGAACCTAGTAAGCCGCCTTAGTTTCAGACATTCTAGATTTAGGCCCTGACGTTCCTGGCCATGGCTGGTGGGGTCGTTAACCAGAAGTTCTTGGTCTGCCGGGATACAAAGGTCCCTCTGTGCCGATCTGTTGGAACGGTTTCGCATAACTGACGTTTAATTTTTAGCTTGGGTCGGTTATGCAAAACGGTCAGTGGGAGTTGTGAGCTTTTCATTTGGGTGTCCACCTCTAGGGCTCGACCCAACCACCGAAGCTTTACGCCCATCGTTCGGACTGCAGGTTCGGCAGGCACCTGCACAGGTGAGCACAAAGTTCCATGATTTGAAGGCTCGTCGGTCCTTGGGCATGTTTTCGTGGGAGGGGCGGGGGGGCTTTCGGTGCATGGCCTCTTGGAAGCTGCTCTGCAAGAACTATCGTCCAGTGACGACGGTCTGACACGCCCGCTGAAGACCACGAGCTTACCAGCCAGTCATCCAGCGAGGCCGGCCAAACCGTGGTGGTTCTCGATCAGCCGCGCCAGCTGCCCGATGGCAGCCTCTGCGTACCGATCCAGCCAAGAGGTCGGGTGCCGGGTTTTGCAAGTAGACGAGCCGATGCCTTCACGAGCCTCGGGCTCGGGTGGCATTTTGCATGTTTTGCGTTTGCACCTCGGGGCTCTGCCGCCAGGATGGGTCGATGCCGACGTTCTGCAAGATTTTCCGGGCTTATCGACATCCGAGGCCTCAAGAAGGGAGGAGGAACAACAAGCTTGGCTTAGCGCGTCACGCGTTAACCTCCAACAATCCATGACGTTCGACGAACACTCCACGGAATAGCCAAGCTTCGCATCACACAGGCTCAGGCACTAAACCTATGAATGTGGGAAAGCTAGAAGGCAATGCTCTAACACGCTTTAGCCATGCTACCGTGCCAGGTGAAGACACAAGTGGAGTCGAGCGGGGAGGTGACCACAGCACATGCCAAGCGGGTTTGTCTGTCATGCCTCACTTTAAAGAGGTTGCGTGCTTGAAGTAGGAAGTTCACCCAGCTCAAGCGGGGAATTGTTGGCCTTTCGGAGCTCCTCGTGTGGCATGCAGCAATTGGAATCCCAGATTTCAACTGCTCGAAGGACGCTTGGCAGTATGCCAGAGATGCAGAGCCCAAGGTTGCCACTAGGCATCATAGAGAAGCATATGGCATATGGATCCCTGAGATTGGGCCGTGCTGTCGAGAACCTGAGCCCAAGGCCTACAACGAGGGCCGCGTGCAGCCCTCAGAATTTCTGCTTGGGCTGCGACATGCTGATCGGCTCTAGTTCTACCACACGACTCAGGGAAGAGGACAGGCAGTCTTCAAAGGCCCCAGATTCTAGATGCAATCAAGGCAAAGGCCGGCGACGCATGGGCAAAGTACAGCGGCAACAAGAGCAACTGGGTCCGGGCCTTCACTGTCTCAGTTTGATACGGCCTGTGCTAATGCAGGTCCCTTCAGACATGGCCTGATCTCTCTTCCGCCGGCTTTCGAATATTCAGATTTCATTCAGCAGTGCTTTCGAAGACATGGCCTACTTGCATGATCAGCCACCACATGCCACTCTGTAGCGTTCGTTGTTGGATCTTGAGCTCGAATCAGAAGATTGCGGTCCTACGGGTGGAGGAATTGAAAGCAGTCTGCAGAGGGTAGAGAGGGTCCCAGGGTAGACCTGCCCTTCTGTGACCTGAGGATCACAACGTCCGGAGCTTGTTGATGGCTTGTTTGCCAAATCCTTGTGGCTGAAAGTGCTTGAAAGTACATGAAGCTATGCACTTCCGTGGATGCTTGCCAGTCACCAGCTAGAGGTCGGAGATGCATGTGCTGCGAAGCCTCCTGTCCAAGGCCAAAGGCCAAAACGACGATCCGTGGGGCCAGTACAAGCAAAGTGAGTGGGCTCGGGGCCCTAGAACTCCGTCGGCGGCTCTGCCATGGCGATCTGGCAGAGCGTGCAAGAGCTTCCGAAGGTCCCCGCCGAGATGCCCCAACCGGCAAGCTACGCTTAGGCACGTAGGCAGCATTGCGGCTGCTCAGGATAAGAACGCTTGGTCAAAGAACGATTGGGAAGACAGCCAAGACAAGCAGGACGACAGGGTTGTGGCACGTGGCCTATGGCATTCCAGCCACGGCCATGATTGCAATCGGTTTGGCATTCTCGGGTTGGTTTTTGGCGAGCACGAGTCACATCCAGCCGGATTCCAGTCTGTCAGCTTTGTTTGTGTTTCTGTGTGCCGGACGGAGGATTGGTCAAAGGACGACAGCAGCTCAGGCGGAAACGGGCTGTCTCGAATCGCCTCGCCATGTTCCTGGTTGCACCCTCTCATGGTCAGAAAAGAGTACCTATACCTTAAGAGCCTATAATTATTAAGGCCCCTATATCATAGTACCCTTATAGTACCCTAGATGGTCAGAGTAGGAGACGCCGACCCTCTCAAGTCTGCGTGGCTGCGTGACCCCGCTTACAGTCCCTGCTACAGGCTGGGGCCAGGAGGGCCAAGCAAAGTGGGACCAGGAGAAGTCCGAAGGACCGTTTAGGGTTTATGGTTTCTAAACCCTAAACTTCCTAAACCCCTAAACCCCTAAATGTGGCAAAACCAGCATCAGCTGAGCATGGCTTCAGGAGATGGGTACCATGAGAAAACGGAGCACGGTGGCTCAGTTGGGAGTGGGGCAGGCGCGCTTCCGAGCCTCTGTGGCTGAGTGAAACTCATCGCTGGCCGAGGCCCGAGCCATGTCCAGAGGAGGCCACACCCGCAGTGTGTACTTGAAGGATGGAAAGGCGGCTAGCTCAAGTTCGTGGTACAGTAGAGACCTGCGCAGCTACTTATATGTGTGCTGTTAGTCGCTAGCAGATACTGGCTGTCGCAACTGACTGCTACTTCTTGCTCGGCCAAAAAGGGAAGGCCATTTTGGCTCTGCTGGTTTCGTAGCTCTTCCATGCGGTGTCTTCGTCCAAGTTCCATCGCGGCTGCAGGCCGGAGAGTGTCAGACGGTTTAGGGTTTAGGGCCCTAAACCGTGGGTTTAGGGTTTAGGCCGGAGAGTGGCAGAATCAGGTCGCTAGTCAGTCGAGGTTGAGGGGCTGGAGGTTGGTGTTGGTGCTGGTGTTACCGAGCCTTGGAGGATACATTCGTGTGGCATCGTGTGGCCCACGCTTTGGTGGGCCAGTTCTTGCTAAAATTTTGCGCCACTTCATATCTTTCTTTTCTGTAGCATGCCCAAGGCATGGCGCTGGCTGATCCAATAAAAAATGCTGGCCAGGAAATTCGGAGGAACTGTACTACTCTGGGCATCAGGACGTGCAGGGACGGCTTCATGCGGACTTTCTGCCCTGAACTACGAAGTTCCCGCTAAAGTCAGCAAGATGCATAGCGCAACCACACCAATTGCAATCAGACCAGCAGTCGTTCGTAGTAGGAGCAGTGACCCCATGTCGTATAGAATTCACATATACGTACATGTACATCATATACATACAGACGTACTTCATTAGGTACGTTTCGGAAGGAGAGCTGGCTGGTCTTTCGCGGCTTCGGCAGGGCGAGTGGGACAACTACAGACATACATTCATACATATCTCCCTCTATCTATCTAATCTATCTATCTGCATGCATGCATGTATGTAGGTATGTATGTATGTATGTAAGTGAAACGAATACCGCCCTGAGTAAGCACAGTTTGGTCATCGCTTTGACCAGTCAATTCCAGCATGAGTCAACTTCAAGATTCCGAGGAGGCGACGATGGTGGTGGTCGTAGGCTTATGTGGTATTAGTATCATTGTTACTGCTGTTATTAGTTGTATTCTTCTTCTCTTTACGATTATCATTGTTGTTGTTTTTGTTGCAGTTTCTGTCATTCTTTGTAGTAGTCGTCGTAGTCGTCGTCGTAGTAGCAGCAGTAGCAGCAGCAGTAGTAGTGGCAGCAATAGCTAGTACGAGAAGGTGGAGCCAGCAGCAGCAGCAGCAGCAGCAGCAGCTGCAGCAGAAGTAGCACTATATCGCAGCAGTGGGGGCTGCAGGTTGGTGGGTGATGGCCGGTTGCAGGGTTCAGGCGGTCTATTGCGACAAAATCCGTGCAAACCGTGTCGGGAGTGAACCCTTGTGAGTATTGTGGGCACAACCGGCATTATGCTGAGCATATACCTCCCTTTCCGTCAGATGTCCTTGTGGTTAGCGCGGGTTCACCCGAAGGTTTGGTTTGTGAAATCTTTCGTCAGCACAAACCTTTGTTGGTGCGAATGTCGGTTTCAAGACCAGATTCTACTATCACGTGTACTGGTGGTTTTTGGAGAGGACTTCCTGGAAACCGACGCGGCCATGACGAGCGCGGCGGCGGCGGCTGCACGGGCCACCGCTGCGTGGCGCTTCTTTCACGGTAACGAGGCGGTCCGGGAGCTGTCTTAGATCACACTTTTCGATACGAGTGGGACGGTACTTATTGACTTACTGCACTTTTGTGTGGCTTAAGTTCAAGTCGGTGACAGCTTCCGGTCGGACTCCGGGTTACGAGAGGGCTGAGAAGAGATTCCTGGCTTATAGAGCAGAGTACTTGGCAGATCGCCGGAGGGAGTGTCAGCATGTCTGGAACTGGCATCAAACCGCTGAAAGGCTGAATCACCCGACATCACACACACACACACACATATATATATATATATATATATTATATACATATGTATGTATATATATATATATGTGCAAGTATGCAGGTTGTACTCATGTGTAAAGATATGCAAATGCAGATATATAGGTGGCAGAATAACATGCGCTTTTCCCACGTGTACATGTACATAGTACAGCGAGGTCACATATAGATATGTCCGCCAAGTCTTCCGCACCTTCTAAGTGTGTGGTATCTTGCTCCTGCCTGCCCATCAGGCCAAAGAGCAGATAGCAGTGCGCAAGCCCGCCAGGTCCACCAGAGTCCTTTTGGTTTCTTTTTTGGCGGAGAATTTTTTGCGGTTAGCAGCCAAATCCAGTGTTGCGGGCTTCTTGCAATCTGGGCACCTACAGACTGAGGCTCAGGGCCCGTGCCCACCGCGCAACCCCCGTTTATGCTAGCTCCAGCTTGTGTCCTCCAGCAAGTGATGCTCTCGGCCGTGCGAGGATGTCGGTGCAGGCACCTCCAAGCCTGGAGCCCGGTGCATTTCTGTTTCTTTCTAGGATCCCTTTTTGGGTCCCTATTATAATACGGCACCTAATATTTAGGGTACCCAAAAAGGGACCATAATTTTAGCAACTACTTTGCTAAATACCTGATGCAGTGCACCTTGGTATAGGCGACGTGTCTAGGCACAAGGGCTTGAATCACACGATTGCCGCAGCCGGAGGAGCCAGTCTCGTGTGTCTACGCGTCTCCAGTTGAGCCTGTCATCCTTGAGCAGCGGCAGTGCTAGTTGAGCTGGGTGGTCGTCCCCCTCTAGCCCGGAAATCCCGGAACCAAAAGCCCGAAGCACATCGAACACCTGGCCAGTGGGGCGTGTCGGCGTCGAAGACCCCGGAAGCGTCACACCATGCGAAGGTTAGTTCGAAGATTCACCTCATCATAATGCGGATTGGGTTTCGCTGAGGCCCCGAGCTGGGCACGCGGCTCTCGCAGACAGCCCAGGCCGCCGCTTTGAGCAGCATCCCCTCTTCCGTAGCTTTCGTCATCTAGACCCCAGCAGCAGTCCAAAATCTAGAGGCAAAGGGTTTCTCGGGGTAAGCGCCCTGCCTGCGGAAACAACATGCCAGACGGCGCAGCGGGCACGGGCTGCGCTCGAGGCCATTTTTTTTTTGCTTTCTTCGGATTTGCAGAAAACCCGCGCATGAGAGAGCTCATAGCATCTCGTAGGTTTCGATCTCCGGCTTGCTCCTTACCGTTTCAGGAACGTGCGCGCCTACCCGCTCCGGTGCCATCGGGGCCACGTAGCTGAATGTCTTCTGGGAGGTAGATGTCAAGTCGTGTGTGTGGGCTGTGTGGGCCATACGTGGGAGCTTGTCATACCGCTGGTAACGCATCTTCTATTCCATGTTAGGCAAAATCTAGCCTAGGGCTGGCATTCAAGTTGCTGAGCTTCAAGCCTAGTGCATGAGCGGTCTGTGGTCCATGGGCATGACGGAGACTCACCTGCCACGGGACCTTTAGGCCTCGCAGGTTACATATGCGGAAGTGAGTCCTTGTGGCAGATGGAGAGTAATTCCGTCCATGCGTGTCGGTGCCAGTCTGCATGTGTGTAATGTATGTACCCATTCGCGTATACGTATGTATGCGAAATCTAGATCTACACCTAAGCACTCATTCACATGCATACATGTGAGACAGGTGGATGTGCACGTCTGATAAAGCATCAACTCACCATGTACATGCTGGTAGACATGGGATGTTAAGAAAAACCCTGGAACCCCAAATGTGGTAGACATGCTAGACAAGGGTTTTAAGAAACAGGGGACCCATACAGTCCGAGTTGCGAGAGTCCAATACGAGACCCTCCTTAGTATAAGCATAAGGATTCCTTAAGCCGGTACCCGTCACCTAATTTTCTGAAACTCTATTATCTTTTTTGTGTGCGAGTCAATGGCCAAGGCCGCGAGTGCAACCAGGAATGCTCAGTGCAAGAGGCCTTGCCCTCCTGCTGTATACGTTTGAGTTACTTATACAACTTGCATGTGTATATACACACGCACATATATATATATATATATATATGTATTCATATTGATACTTAAACATACGTGTATGTGTATGTACACATGTGCAACCCCGGCAAAGACCACGCAATCCAATATTTTAGGATAAGTTTGTGCAGAACTGGTGTTTATTGCCTTCTCCCTTCCTATCGCATAGCCATAAAAGTGGTGGTCCCACGTCAAAGTGTGCTTACATACGAAATAGTTTTCTCCACAAGACCGTCGTCATAAGATGCATCATCATCATCAGTCCCCTATGAGACCGTCATCACCATCCGTATCATCGCCGGTTTCCCCTGCTAGACCTGCGCATGAGCACGCATCCTTTGGAGTCTGAAAAACGTAAATGCCAGTGACTGGATTTGCGGGTGTTTAAATGCCAGTGAATGTTTCGTTCACCATCATGTTTTGAGTTTAGAGCTCCAAATCGATGAAGGTTTCTGTTACTACTTCAGCAAAGTTGGTATGCTGATCTCCTACTACGCAATGACCAGTATTGGCTTAACCTTGTTTACCGTTCAATTCTGCCCGCTGTTTCAGCATTCGTTTATAATGTTTGTTCTTTGTTCGTTTGTTTGAATCTTCGCCTGTTATCGCGATGCCGATCACAGTAACAGTAACGAGCCATATGTATATTGTCTGGAGTATGTTTACATTGCTGTAGTAGCTATATGCGTGAGCCACCAGGCACTCGTTCAATTTTCATGAACACCTGAGTCCAGGTAGCGTCGATTCACGCGTTTCCACGGCGCCCACGTCGCCTGACCGCTCTGGCCTTCAGGCCTGACTGCTGTTCAGGATCTGTTTGATGGGAGAGTAGACCAAGCCAGATTTTGATTTTCGCCAGGCCCCTTATGCCACGGAAAGTCCGCAGTTAGCGAAGACCTACTCGCGGCGACGACCCTCGCAATTTGAGTACCAGCCATCGGACGGCAACAGGGCCGCAGACAGGGCGCGCATCATGCGGAAAGTTCTGATTGATGTCGGTGGTAGCAGGATTGCATGAATGGCAGATGCACGCCCAACATCTAGTGTATACATAAGACTGCAAAAGCCAAGGTGTGCGCCCTACATTT